GAATGTGAGAAATACCCGAGATCCTAAACCGTCGCTCAAAATATTGGGGAGATTGTCCTCCATTACTGCCGGAATGACGTCGTAATCGAAGTCCTGGTCGCCGGTTTGGACGTCGGAAAATGACGTCGTTTGCTATCGTGGTCGCCGGAATCTTCGGTGTCGCCGGAATCTTCGGTGGTAAGTCGATGCGGAGAACCGTCTTTGTCAAAGAGGAATCGGGGGACCAGTGGGGGGACCAAAGAGGAGGGTCCGATTTTGTCAAAAAGAAGACGGACAAATGACAAAAATACCCCTCTCTGCGGAGGTAATATCGATCCGCGGAGGTCCGCAGAGGGCCCTCCGCGGAATGCGTGTCTATAAGTAGAAAAGTCATTTTTTATGACTAAATATTGAAATTGGCCCCCTTTTTTTGTCTATTAGCGGTATTTTCCCATGATATGGTGGTTAAGTTGAGTAGGTCAATGTTAAAGCAAAGCGTGTGCAATTATATAAAAATTGAAAGCCTGTCGAATGACGTCTTTTGTGTGTTTGTCTTCTATGAAAAAAAAAGAGGTAGTAAAACAGGCTAAATAGCCACGACCAAGTCCGGCGGCAAACCATTAAGAAATAGATAAATTTAAAATATTAAAATGCAATTTCTTTTTCAATCTGCTAACCTTTTTTTTATTAGTAACAACTTTATAGTTTTCTTTTGTCTTATTCATTTATAGTTAATGAGGACCAAGGTGGCATTTGATAAATAGAACGATATTGGACGTGATTTTACTAGACTAAATGTATAATATTTGTTAAGACTAACACAAAACAAGAAAATATAGAATTTACCAAATTGACTTTAATATTTTAATAATAGAAAAAAAATATATATTTTATTTGTTGTTTTTAAAAGCTCTATATCAACGGCGGACATGAAGGGTTTCTGAGATGGCCAGTGCAACCCCTCAAAACTTTTAGCACATATGTGTTACCCTTAAAATTTTGTTTTGCGTCCGCCATTATGTAAAAATAAGCAAAAAATAAATATATAGTAAATTGATTTTTCAAGTGGACTTAGGATATATTAACATGGGTCATTTACGGTTTACCATTTTAACATATAAAGTAAACCGTATAAATGGGATTTATGGTTGACAAAAAAAAATTATTTAAATCGTAGTTTTTTCGTTATAATTACATCCCTAGTTTGTATATGTTTCAGTCTTGGTTCATGTGTTTGACCGAACCACGTAAAATCATTGTTTTACCTTTATGAAATATAAATATTTTTTTTTACTAATTTTTTTATTGCTTATTAAGGTTGTGTTTATTAGACTAAAAAATCTAGATTTTGCTTAATTATCTAGCTGATAGATGATAAAGTAATAATGTTTGGTAAAACCATGGTTCTAAAAAGCGCGCCATGGCGCGCCTCAAGGCGTGCCATGGCGCGGGGCGTGGTGTAACCGTTACGAAAACGTCCAAGACGGGTTTGTAAAGCGTGGCGTCCAAATAACGTGTCAAGGCGCGCCTTATCGCGTTATGACGCGAGTTTTTTTCAAGGCGCGGGTTTTTTTGTTTTTTTTGTTTTGTTTGTTTTTTATCGGGCCTAAAATAATTGACTTTTTGTTAACTTTTTTCTATTAGATATTAATATAACACTTCTAAAAACTTCATATATTTGATAAAATTCAATAATTATATGATTTATATCTTATAATGTATATAATATAGTCACGCCTTGAAAAACGCCATGACTCGCCAAGGCTTGTCATGGCTTAACTTTTACATTGCCGCCAAGCCACGCCTTACGTTATTTAGAACCTTGGGTAAAACTAACTAATAAGTTAGATGGATAATATAAAATGACATAAAAAATATATAGACATAATTAAAAAAAATATATTTTATGAAACATTATTAAAATAAATCACAAATTTCAACATATTGAACTAATTAATTACATAGAGTTTTCCAATCATTTTTAGTTTTAAAAAAACACTTCTTGCATTTCATATCATCTCCGCAATGTTTTTACAAGTTCTTCGTTTCTTATAATTTGACTTTTGAGTGTTAACATGAGTAAATCTTGATTCTTCTTCTAATTTTTAGTATATAAATTGACAAATTTGTTCAAAAATATTGAAATTCGAGTCATTCATTCAAATATAATCATGAAAAGTAAATAATTACATTATCACATTTATGTGTGTCTCATCACTAAAACAGTAAAACTTGTTATTTCGTTCAATATTTTCCACCTCTTCTTTAATACTCAAAATGAACGATTGATGCAACTTCGAAGAGCTGAATGTACACGATTAAAAGCCCATTGAACATTAGTTGGGAAAACATGCAAAAATTGTGATCAATGATATCAAATATGTGAGTATGGTACTAGATATTCTTTGTAGTCGAGATATCCTTTGTCTACAATGTAATATTTTCCTATAAAACAGAGAATACAATGATATTATTTGTCTACTATGTAATATTTTCTTATAAAAAAATGAAACAAACTAATGTTATGAATACGGTTAGCACACAAATTTGAAGGAATGTCAAATAAGTTATACCTTCCTGATTACGATTTCATAGAAGATGTTGCAATTACATGAAGGAAAACTCCAGTATCATGCACCAATCATTCCCACTCAACATATGTGAAGGTAAAACACGTCAAAATCACATATGGTCAATACATTAATGGTGGGTACTCTTTTCTTCCCATGTATCTCATTTGGTTGGCCACTAGAATACAAACATATATATATATATATATATATATATATATATATATATATATATATATATATATATATATATATATATATATATATATATATAATAGTATGCATTGAAATGTTAAATAATTTGGTCTAATATGGTTACGTGCAAGACATAACCATTTGTCATGTTCCCATGTAGATTCCAACACATCATGAAAAAGCTCGACAAATATATGTAATTTTATACTATTTTGATTTTCCATGCTATATTAATTGACACGAATTGACTTGTTGATAACTGATAGACCATATTGTTGATGCATTGCAATGCTTCGAAGAGTCATTATCAGAAGATGGTGACAGTCGTTAATCATTCTAAAGGTTCCCTAGACATGAGCGGACTAGCTAAGCATGAGTGTATGGATTCCATTACATGTATATTATACATTTTGTTTCCATTATAATTACCCCTATAGACTTAGAAATGATGTATATTCTCTTGCAGATTTTAATATAACAATATAAACCTCTTTATCTTGGGGCAGGTGGCATGATATTGCATGCACTTGCATTAAAATCATTCATCATAACTCTTAAGATCAATTGACCTTATCGAAACTCCATTACAATAATGCTATTATACATCACATGGGAACATAAATAAATTCACAAATCATTGAACTCTTTCACAAAATGAGTTCTTTTAAGTCAAAACTCACCACTCACAATCATATCTCAAATCTCCTACACCCAACTTGCACCTAAGTTGTATTAACAAATATTGTAAACGTGTATTATTGGATTAGTAGAATAGTCAAAGTCAGTATAGACTTCCCTTTAGAATAGGAGAATAGTCAAAGTCAGTATAGACTTCCCTTTAGAATAGGAGAATATCTCTCATATTTCAGTTCATATCTCTGTATATATTGATGTACTGTAAATGGAATACACACATAATTACTCGATTTCTCTATAAGTTGACAGTTGTTACAATTGCCAACTTCATAGAATTCAACTTTGATTATACTACAAGAATGCTAGCAATGATGTATTTATTAGGTTGTAGAAAATAATATTATATCCGAGAAAAAAAAACGTCAATAACTTGGTTAGAAAGATGATGTTGAGAATGTTGAAGTAGTCTCTATCGGTTGAGTTGAAGTGGTCATGTTTATTACTATGAGTTAAGTCTCATTTAGGAGTGTAGGAAATAAGATCAGGTTATAAGTGGGTACAAGAGACATATTTCAAATGTTTGAATGTTAATTTCGAGGGAATATTGAGGCTAACTCTGTGAGAGTTTTTAGAAAAATTATAGTCTGTCTGGCTGTCACTTTGAATTGAAACGACTCCACCATCTAATTGTATAATTGGTGCGTTATTTTTTCGATCTATCATCATAACAAGCATTGCTAAAAACCTTCACACTAATTAAAATGATTAGCAATATAGGATGATTTGTGTTTAATGTTTGCTATCATATAAACAAATGAACTTGACATTAAGTGCAAGTCACAAGCACGAAATGCACCAACATAATGAAACTTCTGAAAATTTTAGGAATATAAGTATACGTTTTGCCTTTCAGTTTTTGGCTAATCACAATTTTTTAATCTTGCTAATTTTCTCACAAGAATGTTCCAAACTTCGTTCATGATAAGAGAATGTAGGATTGTTGTCTACATCTCTAAACTCAAGGAGGTCTTGAGTGTATCTTAGCTTCATTCCATCAATGTGAACTTGATGATAATGAAATCATGAGCACTCTCAACAACAGAAGAAAGATGCATTTAAGTTCATAACGTTTACATTCTTAGAATTTTCAATAAAAAATAATGTATCAATCATGGATCATGTCCATGAATTTCTATTTCTTGTTTGGTTATTTAAGAATTATATTCTTGAAAATTTAATAAGTTACCCTCATCTTGACACAATTATATGAAAATATTGATGTATAAATTAGAGGATTTCATGTTTGGATCAAATTCATACATGTATAAATTGAAGGGAAATATGAATTTGTGAAAATAATTTGGATGTCTTGCAAACTGACACGAATGGTTTTGGGTTTGTTGTTAAAATTCATTGTGTTATCTAATAACTAGACCAAATAAACGACATCAATATTAATAAAGATAAAAAGAAATAGAAAACCTCAAATCAAATATCAACCAAATAGACGTCAATATGCCATGTACAAAATATTTTCTCAAACACAATAATTACTTAAAAACTTAAATGGAGTAAATAAAATACATAAATTCACAAAACAAGTCCCTCCCATTTTACTTGCAAAACATTTATAAAAAAAAAAAAAAAAAAATTACCTCTGGTAACCCGGAGCTGGATATCCCTGTGGAGGATATCCAGCAGGCGGGTATCCGCCTGCTTGTGGTGGTGGTGCTGGCGGATACCCATAGGGTTGTTGGCCATATCCGACATTAGGCGGATATGGCTGATCAATCCTTGACATATTCTGCATTGGTGGGACCGCCATTGGTTGTGGTCCAAATTTTCCATCTCTTTTGTCCATTTCAACCTTGTGTTGCGTCTGAAAAAAAAATAAAGGAAAATTAAATAAAAAAACAATTTTTTTTTCAAAATTTGTAGCAAATTACAAAATTTGATTACCTGCATGCACGCGCAAACCCTGAAAAAAGGTGAAATATAATAAATATGTTAGAATATATTTATTTTTTTGTAATGTTAAATAATTAAATGTATAAAGAAAAATAGCTTACGTGCAATAAACCAAATCAGCTAAGCAATTGAGCAACTGAGATGCTTCACTGAGTTCTTCACTTCCAACAAGGCAAGCAACAATGGAGAATATGCATGCAAGTTGTTGGAGACAAAACATGAAACCCTAGATTATGATCAGAAAACAAAAATTTAATCAATGGAATGGAATCAGAAAGGTATGGAATGGAATCACAAGGGTCAGTATGTTTGAGTGGTATGAAGGAATGAAATGAGTTGTTCAGATATGGTGTTTGTTGTTTACAAGATGAAATTAAACTGATGAATAAAGAATAAAAGAGTTTGATGAAGAGATTACAATGATGCAATTATCGCATTTAGTTGTTTGTATGTTGAACTCATCTTGCAACAGAAACCGAGTAGATGCCACTGAGTTCCCAAAGCACAAAAACACCTGTGAATTGCAAAAAAATAAGATGATTATATATAATCTGTTCCCATTACATTATAAGATTTTAAAAACAGGCATACCTCAGTGCAAAGACATAACTCAGGGCATTTACTTTCTCCACATCTTCCACTACATGGCATATATCCAGCACAGCATGTATATCTTGACATATCATTATACAGAGCTCGCTTACGAAGCAAGTATGATACACATGGACCACTGTCATTTATGTAAAGAGTTACAGGAAATGTGAAATTAGTGAAAAAAATATGAAGGATATTATTTTTCAAGGACAGAAGTAATTGCAAGTGAGAAAAAGAAAACTAATGTCAGTAAGTTTGAAAAGATTATAATCATCACAGGTTGAACTCATGAACATAGGCATTTTTCTATAATCATCTTCCAATAAGCAACATCCATGGCCTCTGTTGAGATATATGGAGAGGATTATTTCACAGCGTATACCACAATTTACAAGATCTAATGAGTAATGAATATAGTTATATAGAATTTATCATCTGCTCAAGGATGAAAAGTTTGCAGACAATTGTTATGACTGATGAAAGATGTGCCATGTTTTAATGATGGACTTCAGTTATCCTGTTAGCCTGATGTTGTAAAATTTAGGAGTTTTCTTGCATGATCGTTATAGAATAGGGATCAGTAACACATAAACATACTAATCAAATTAAAAAGCCTAATATTGAAAAAGTTTATTCAAATTTCAAATAATCAAACATAGATCAATAAAAAATAGCGAGAGAACATGAATTTTGAAAAAGGCATAATATGCTACGGATATAGTACATTGTAGATCAAGTTCGAAGAGTCAAAACTTCCGAAATTAGATAAGCACAAACTTAAAATCCACATAACAGATCGAAGATCTAGAAAATACATTGAACGCGAGGTCTCTTACCAGAATAACGAAAAGCAGCAGTCTTCATCAACACGCATAGGAAGAAGAACAGCAAACGAATTAGAATCAAGTAACAGAACTAAATAAAATAAGTTGATTTTGAGGATAAAGTTAAGATTTGATTACAAGGAGTATCAGCAGTGATGGTGTTCATGAGATTGGTGTGCCATAGATTCCGGTAGTTTTGACGGAGCTGCATCTTGTCCAAATGCTCTTGAGATGCCGCCATTTTCGATCTGGATACAGGAGATCGAGCTTCGAATCAAAGAAGAATGTTATGGAATTGAAGATGCCCTGGAGTATACCAGTGTTTGACCCTTTAGAAGTGGACTTCTCAAGGAAGCATCGCCAGAAATTGGCCATCATATATTACGCTAAACCCCCTGTAGTTTTATACAATTTGTAATCGGTTCTTGTATATTTAGATTTTTTAGTTGTAGTTGGTTCTTGTATATTTAGACAATTATAGGTGGAATAAACGGTTTCTAAACCAACAATATTAGGTGTTGTCTTCTTTTATTGAGATTGAAAGTTCAAGTTTCGTCTATAATATAAGTGGATTCATGAGTAGTTTAAAAATATATTAGATATGTCGTTCAAAAAATAATAATAATAACTACCATCGACTCTCGCTAAACATTATATATTATAAGGTTGTACCATGGTTGTCAAATCGCGATCCTGATCGTAGGATCGTACAATCCTAGGTATGAAAAACGATACAGATCGTATTTGGGGTAGGATCGCAGGTAGGATCGTAAGATCGTAGGTAGGATCGTAGTATCGAGATCCAATTCGATCCTACCTTCCCTTGAATTTTTTTTTTTAATTTTTTTGCAAATGAAACTTTTTTTATCATTTTATGTCTTTTACCCTTTATCAATTTATCATTTATCATTTTGTGTTGTGACTTATGACTAATATTTTGAAGTTTTTAAAACTTTTGAACGAAAAATTGAATGTTTGAAATATTTTTCATGATTAAAAATTATAGATTAAAATTATATTTTATTTTGTGGGATCTTAGGATTCCGATCCCGATTTTGCAAATCCAAAAACGATCCTACGAAGGATCCCGATCTTGACAACCTTGGGTTGTACTTTTAAATGGGGTAATTTTAATTTTCTTATACTTTTTTGCTATAAATTAATTATAATTTCGATCTCTATTTTTAATTTAAGATATTTATAGTTTTGGTTTGTAGTATATATATCATGGTTCTAAAAAACTTGTTGTTTTCATGGAACATCGTGTTCATGGTTCTAAAAAAACTTGTCGTCTTCATGGAACGTCGTGACTCTAAAGTTTGTATCTGACGCTATGCCTTAAGTCATATATATATATATATATATATATATATATATATATATATATATATATATATATATATATATATATATATATATATATATACTAGCCGTTACCCGCGCAAAGCGGCGGCTGCAAATAGTTTTTTAGGCGATATGTTTCTTTTATAAAAATGTTACGTTCCAAAAGAAACTAAATGTCCAAGACAATAGAATCTAGCTTTGGCGTTATTTTTGGCATGATACATCAAATAACCGGTAAAAATAAACATTTCAAGCCGGCACAAAATATAAATCGTGTAAGTCGTTCAAACAATAATAATAGAATTACATATGAATACACCAAATATGGAAATGTGTAAAAACACATAACTGCTAATACATTATTAATCTCGCAACACTTCTTTATATACCACATTTATTGTATAGACTCTGTAACCTTTGAAATTTTCGTTGGGCTTCACTAACATTTTGGTATTGCCACGTGAGACCCCTCTGGAGAATGCAACATAAAGCTGGCCATGTGCGGATACTGGGTCTGGAATATACATGCCTACATTCAAAATATCTTTATCCCTGAGCTTTATTGATTGTCATCGCAAAGCATAATTGAATAGGAAATTGTTTCCTCTTCAGCTTGAATTGAAACATGTCATCTTCATATGGACTTAGAAGAATCCTTGGAAAAAATACTTTCTTTATAGCATGTTGACCAATAGCTATTTCGAGATCAATGAAATTGTGCTGAAATCTTTTACATATCAATCGGGTGTCGTTACACAAGCCATTTGATGGGTCGATATTTCGTAACAATATTATCAGGCATCCAACTTTCAGTCTTATGTAATGAGGGGGCAAATGACTAACACTGATCGTGTTCAATAATTCCATGAGATAGAAGTTATTTATATGGTCTATGACCTCATCAAAACTATAGTAAATTCTCTCTTTTCCATGAAATCGGCAGATCAAATAATCATTAATCTCATCGACACTATCATTTCTTGTGGATAGTATTGCATGCAAAATAATATAATCTTTTCTTGTGGATAGTACTGCATGCAAAATAATATAATTTGATTCACATTTATTACTTTCCAAGGATGGAAATATTGCATCAATCAAAGCATTCAATGACTTTTCTTTTTTCAGTGAAGGGATTTACCATATCATCTGGGATGAAAGTAAAGTTTCCGTGCACCGTTTCGTCAACTCCATCACCGACACGTAATAGAAATTCTGAGAATCATTGATCGGTTAGTGCTCTCATATTTATAGTTAACCGCAACTTGATAATCGAAGATGAAGGAGGCAACATTCGTATGCTACTATCCACAGTCTATGCCCGTGTTCCACGACAAACCGCAAAACTTGTCTGAAAGTTGAGAGATAAAATCACGAAACGGAGGTTATAATTTTATTCAATTCTGAAAGTTGAGAAATAAAAATCATGAAACTATGTTATAATTTTAATCAACTGTGAAAGTTGAGAGATAAAAACAAAAATTCAAAAATTGGTCAAATAACTATTGATAGTAGACATAAACTAATTAAGTTATAAAAAAGATAATAAGCATAAGGGAGTATTCAACAAAACACTATAATAATCATGTTGTATTCCAATCAAAACAAAACATTTACGTATTATAACAATTATACAATTTTGGTTACTACAAAATCTCATTTACATAGGCATATACCTTCACTGGTATTTGTTTTCTTTATTCGATGGCATATCATTTCTATATAAAGTTGAAATTATATAACTAAAATACTATTTCAAATTATTTCTTCTTAAAAAAAATTAACGCATTCCTTAAGTAAACATAAATGCATCATGTATTAAGAATAAAAACACATAATATATTATCTATCAATCCATTTTTATTGACCGTTACAAAGGATAAACATAAATTCAAATATAATAACTAACCGCTTTTCATAGGTACAAAATAAAAGATCTGTCTAATTAACCATTACAAAGGATAAAATACTAATAATTAAAAAAAACCGTAGCTAAACATTAAATTTTTCATTTTGAAATAAGTAATAAGTATTAAAAATTGCATTAAAATCATCTCATCAGCACCACACCAGCACCATCGTTTGGTTTAATTAGAAGCACACATGTTGGAAAGCATCATCACCAATTGTGTTTTAATAAACACGATAGCAATAGGAGGAGTAAAGCACCCTTTTGTTTATTGAAAAGACGAATCAGCACCACCTGATCATCAAAGTCGCTATTAATAATCTTTAAAAAAAATTAGAACTTACCAGTAGCAGTAAAGTACTAAACAAATACATTAAAAATTGTCCAGGTCTAAATGCATCCATCTGGAACAACCTACTGAGTGTCTTACTGCAGTGATATATCTTAGTTGTTGGTAAGATGGATGATGCATGCTCTGTAGGAGCAAAACCAGTTGAGTGTTGGAACAACCTATTATTTAACCTAAATACATGATATTTAAGAATGGAAAGTAGTGTACCATCCTGAAATGAAGAAGGGTTAAAAAAAATATTGACATGTTATTATTTGACAACATGTCTTAACTTATTACAAAAAATGATACTTATTAGGTTAAATGAAAGTATGTTTCTATTTCCTGCATTTAGCCCAAAACTTAAAAGGGTTAAATGCAAGAAATAGCAACATATGTCAAAGAGTTTGTATCAATTTCCATAGAAAGAAACTAACAGATGCCAAGAGATTCTCAGAAAGCTGTCTACGTAAGTAAAAATGAAGGTTAGCAAATCACTTAAATTTATGAAGGGTAAGGAAACTGGCAAGGGATATTTTGGTCCTTTGGAAGAGAGTGGACAAAGAAATGGTAATCTTTTCATATTTCATATTTTTTTGGTAATCTTTTGAGGAATGATTATATCACCATCTTTAGTTTTATCTTTGTTCAAGCTGAAGTAAGGAAAAGAGAAGAAACATAAGCTGTAAAAGTTTTGAAGCATGAACAAGAGCTTCCTTTGTATATGTGTCATTCCTTTGTTCCTATAAATATGAATCGATTTTAGAACATTATTACTAAAAATTATAATATATACTTCAAGAGCAAGTCCTCAATAACATCACCTTGTGTCTCACAATCTCTTCCTCATCTTCCGTGTCAGCAATATTTTCTCAACTACTAAACAAATAACAGAAGAGAACAATAAAAATCACCTTTTTAGCTTGAAATAGTGAAATAATAAAGATTTTTATGAAAGGGGAAAATTAGGATGGAAATAATGACCTTATGACCTTATGCAGATTTGTTAGTAAAAAATCATGAAAGAACCAACAAATGCTTGAATCACATAATTAATACCATATTTCAGCCTTTGTTTTTTTTTTTTTGCTTGCTTGAAGAAATCTAAAATCTGGCTTTGTCCATTGGTTTAACAAAAATGAGACAACCAAAGAAAGCTTTGAATCACCTGGTCAACTAACATTTTAAAGATAAAATAACAACATATATTAGAAAAATATTGGGTAAAATCAAAGAAAAAAAAATAAGAACCCACATATAAAAAGAAATAAAGAAACCAAACCCAGGTAAACCACCCATAACATTGGACCCTCTGTTCCTAGCATCCTGTATCCAACTTTAGCTGAATGAAAAACATGATGTTAATTTTGTAACATTGTGGATCCAAAACCAACAGCTCCTACAGTCTTTAGCTAGCTATTGGTGTTGTTCCTACAAAAAAAGTCACCACACAATCGATGCTAGGAGTGTGGTTAAATAGAGACAAGACAAAAAATGAGGATGAATCTAAAAATTTACAAATATTTAGGGTTTCTTGATCGAATACTGAGATAAAGAGAGAAGGAAGGCAGTAAACGGCGGTGGTGAATGTCGCTGATGGTTGTAGTGGTGTGCTCGTGAAATCAGAAATCAAATACGTTTTGTAACACCTAAAAATTTAAGCCAATTTAAACTTTTAAAAACAGTTTAATCCATTAAGACATTACATAGTTTGTTTTCAAAATACAGTTATCAGAGTATCCCAGTATCAAATCATAAAAGT